GAGGAGGAGGAGGAGGAGGAGGAGGAGGAGGAGGGAGGAGAAGGACAAGGAAAAGAGAAGAGATAAAGTCTATCGGCGGTCAGTTCGTGGCGCGTTTTGACGAGGAAGTTGAAGGCCAAGGGAGGAGGAGGAGAAGGAGGAGGAGGAAGAGGAGGAGGACAAGGAGAAGCGATTACGGCTCTGTGTGGTAGTTTCGGTGGGGCGTTTGGGAGGAGAAGGGGAGGAGGAAGAGGAGGAGGAGGAGGAGGACGACTACGACGACAAGGAGAGAATGGAATAACGTCTCTCTCCGGTCGTTGCGTGGGGCGTTTCAACTAGGAAGTCGTACAGCTGCCAAAGTTATGACCTTGAAGATTCTCTGAGCTGGAATGATCATTGTCAGGTAACTCCCTGTGCTACGTTGGGAGAAAAAAAGAGGGTGGATGGTTCGTGGGGGGCTGGAGCCATGTCGTGAAGAAAGGCAGTCGTGCGTCATGACAGGGGATTGCCGCCATCGCCGTCGATCGCCGTTCTTCGTAAGCGATTTTGCGATGACGGCTCGTCAAATCACAAGTACTCGGATGACGTGGCTCTTGCTCCTCCTCCTGTTCGCTGGGTTGGGAGTGTGTAGCGCATTGAAGGTGGGGAGCTTCGACTGGGTTACAGGCACATTCAAGGGCCGATTTACTGAGTGTGAGTGGGAGGAATTGCAAACTGAAGAATATTTGTATAACTGGTCATCATATAGAGTTGCGTGCACAATTACGAGGATTAATAACACTCGACCATCGGTACGTGGTCGGAATCACAATCAGGTTCGTGTTGATGGCGAGTTCTGGCCAGACAAAGGGACCGGTATATGCAGAATGACGGAACAATCCCGGGGACTCATTCGCTGTGACCTACTCAACGCCACACACTCCACAAGCTTGCCATTTTTCTCCTCCTCCTCCTCCTCCCCCCACTCCTCCTCCTACAACCCCGCCTCCTCCTCCTCCCCCCCCTACCTATCCTCCTCCTCCTCCTCCACCCCCCAATCCTCCTACGCCTCCGCCTTCTCCTCCTCCTCCTCCTCCTCCTCCTACAACCCGGCCTCCTCCTCCTCCCCCCCCTACCTATCCTCCTCCTCCTCCTCCTCCACGCCGTCGTCTTTATCATGGACAGGAACAAGAGCAGCGGTATCATCGCCAGCACCTGTGCTTCCAATGCGCCACGTCACGGAGTTAACGGTGGAGATTGCTCGATACACACCGTCTGGTACAACGGGATGTCGTAGTCGTGGAAGCACAAGCTCAAGAGGAAATGCTTGGCCGTTCTATATTGAGCCCCGGGTGCAGAAACGATGCACCCACTGGGCCCACTGGGAGCTGCATAGCCCGCGTGATGGTGAGCAAGGCGGCACTTCAAGCGATCATTGGCCGTATGCGGTCGGAATACCCGTCGGCGTCGAGGACAACAAGGATCCCACGATTTTTACACGTGGCATGGTCATCCTTGTCGCGATCCTAGGGCCGGCTTCTCTCCTCTTGCTCGGGTATTTATTCTGGAGGTACTTTATCCCGTGTCTGTCTGGGAGAGGGAGGAGAGGACACGTGGCACAAGCAGAAGAAAGGAGAGGAAGAGGTTCAGCCTCAGCCGTTGAAAGCCGGTGGATTGAGCCATTGGCACAACCACCACGCACCACCTCCTCCTCCTCCTCCTCCTCCTCCTCCATTGCCGCCGTCGTCGGCGGCGGGGCGTCGGTGATAGGCATGATCGGACTCACCGGCGACCAGCAGGTCGGCCATGTCACTGGTGGAGAGTCCATTGCCAATCGTGCTGATCAGCCATTGACAAGTACTCCCACGCATGCCACGTGGGATCACGATGTCGTCGCAGTCGTACTGTGTCCACATCCCTCTGATCTTCCCTGGCTTGGACTCGCCCAGCCTCCTCCGCCGTGGTGGGGACCACCATAGGCGTTGCTCGCTGAGTCCGGCTGTTGAGCCAGAGATCGCCGGCTCGATCCCACGGCAGGAGGTCGACCAAGACCCGTACACAGACATCGCTGGAGAGTCGATTGCTACTCGTGATCATCAGCCTCTGCCACGGACTCCTCGTGGCACAGCGAGCGTCGTCGCACGCAGTGCAGTCGTCGTGTGTCCGAACCCCTCTGATTGAACGCGGCTGGCAATCGCACGGCCTCCTCCGCCGTGGTGGGGACCACCATAGGCGTTGCCGGTCTCTCCCAAGTATTATTTCACGTGGAGCGACGGGGTCGTCGCAGTCGTATTGTGTGCAGATCCCCTGATACTGCCATCAAATGAGGAATCTCCCGTTTGAAACGTTTTTCGTCCGTTTACGCCCGTTTGCTCAGGTAAACGCAAATGAATGTCTCCAACTCCCTGTGATTTTCAATGGCCGGGAGTCATCCAGCCTCCTCAGCCATGTGGTGGGGACCACCATACCTGTGGCGGCGTTCCCAAGGAATGGGTAATCTCCAGGAAACGGGACCGTTTGCGTCCGTTTACGTCCGTTAACTGACGCAAATGAATGTCTCCAAATCCCTGTGTGAATTTCCATGACTGAGAATCATCACGCCCCCTCAGCCGTATGGTGGGGACCACCACCATAGCCCTGGAGGCGTTCCCAAGGAATGGGTAATCTCCAGTAAACGGGACCGTCTGGCCCCTTTGCGGCCGTTTAGTCAGGCAAATGAATGTCTCCAAATCTGTGAGAATTTTAATGGCTGGCAATCATCCAGCCCCTTCAGCCGTGTGGTGGGCACCACCCTAACCGTGGAGGCGTCCCGACGGACTGAAGTAATCTCCAGTAAACGGGACCGTTTGCGCCCATTTGCGTCCGTTTAGTCACACAAATTAGTGCCGTATGAGATCATACCCATAACCACGCTATTGTATTATCATATTCACGTATTTGAACGGTGTTTATTTATTACATTTTTAACGTATTTTTTACATATTTTTTACGTTGTCCCACATAAATGGGGGAAGTAGGGACGGCTCGAAGCTTCCGCGACCATTTCAAAGGATGCGTCGAGCATTCCACGACTACACAAAATCTCCAAAGACGAACGACTGTTTTTTTTTTTTTTTGGCTTTTTGAATGGCGAACGACTGTTGTACATATGGCTTGAACGACGAAGGATGAGTATACATATAGCTCCAATGACTGACGACGACGGCTTAACGTACGAGAAAAAAAAGGTACGTCTATTGTCTACTATTCTCTTTATTTCGTTCCTTTCGTCACTCGTCTCTGCGGGTGCGCTGCAGGTGCGTGTGCGTCTGTGTGTGTGTGTGTGTGTGTGTGTGTGTGTGTGTGTGTGTGTGTGCGTGTGTGTGTG